AAAAAAATATTTGAAGGAAGAGCAAAAATATGACAACATTGAAAAAAATAAAAATAAATCAAATAAAAAATGCAATAAATTAACAAGAAATTTTACTTTACTGATGTTAGGTATTACAGCCTAATATATTGCCAAATCGATGTAAAATAACAATTAGATGTTTTTTGTGAGTTTTTTCAGAAAGTTTTTTCAGCCTCAGAAATAATTTTAATTTTAGAATATAAATTGGACGTTAGATAAATTAGATACAGAATTGGATACGAAGTGGACCGCTGCGATTAGTTATATAGTTATATATGGGTTTAAAAGGACAGAAGTCTGAAGTATTGAGTCTAAATTTGCAACTTTTGGAAGATAAATTTAAAAGTAAGGGTAAGACTTCAATTCGTTTTGAAATGGATTTACCATCCTGAACAGTATGAAAGTGACTTCTCTCAGGACTATCTCGAATTTATCGGGGGCATCAATAAGGAAATTGAAAGAAAATTGACACTTTTTCAATCTTCTAAGACTGAATTTTTTTTTCAAAGGATTTTCAGATTAATTTTCTCTCGTATCCTTTTTTGTTTCTCTCTTTAAGTTCTAGCAAAAAATCTGACATCATAGTCCGCGCCTTCTATAAATGGGTAATATTTGCTTTTTCGATAATAAATGCTTTTATTTCTGAAATTCTGTAGTAAATATAATGTAACCTATAAATACGCGCTAACATCATTATAAGTGTATTCTAAATATGGATCTATATATTCATTCTATGGATTTAAAAGACGCGACATTAGCCCAAAAAAGTGAAATAAAAAAATATAAAAATTCGATAAATATATTTAGACTAGATCAATGATAATCAAAAGAAACGAAATGAAAAGAAAGAAATCATTACATCCGTATAAATGTATATTATCAATTCTAATCCATCATTTCTCCCAAATTTCTGATTGCATCTATTCACTTCTCACAAATTCCACGTTTCTCTTATTATAGCAATTTCTTTTCATTCAAAGAAGACGAAATTCATAATGCGTGAAAGAGTCTTCAATTTAAAAAAGATAATTATTTTAAAAAGTAGACAAACAAAAGACATGTAAAAACTTGTTTTGATAACTCATTCATAATCACTTGGATTTTGCTAATATCGGTACTTATTTCCCGGATATATCTCGTATAGTTGCATTTTTCTCGAAAATAACGATTACTTTCCGTAAAATGTATGATGCGCATGTATCAATTTATACTCTCGTTATTCATCAAATGTTAAATTAGCTAACGATAAAATGATACATCATGCGTTTTATCCCGTAAACACATTGGCTGCGTTCAGCGGATTCAACAGTCGAGTGAGTTCTTATTGATGTATTCTTTTAGATCATCCAATCATCATTTTAGATCTGAAAGAATACACCAATAGCATGCTCACTCAACTGTTGAGTCCGCTGAACGCAGCTATTGGGTGCATCCAGATGCGCAATCACCCACTGAGTACTCATGGAGCTCTTTCATCTGATTGGCATATTCTGTTAAATCCTAAAATATAAATCAATCAAATGAAAGAGCTCCCCGAGTGTAGTGAACCTTAATCTTAAGAAATTCATCAATCACAGTCGAATGTCAGAAGAACAATCAACTATGATTGTTCAATTCCTTAAAGCTTAAGGCTTACTACGAGTACATCTATTGTGTTTACGGGGTTACAGAATGCAACTAAGTTTGAGTGTTTGAACAATCGGCAAAGAAACGAGATAAAATCCAAACGGTTAGCGAACGTTGTCCACATTATCCACTTATTACAGTATTACGCTAATTGTAAGATTTGTAAGAGATTATAAAATTTCGTAATAATAAAAGGTGAAGAAAACGGGCTAATAAGAGTAAAGTACTATAATCGTTGCGTAATTTTTATCGTATGTGTAAATCTTCAATTTATTTGGACATTTCAGCTCACGTTTGAGTTATCCTCAACAATACGTATAAACGTGAGTCGAAACGTCCAAATAAATTGAACGTGAATCGAAACGTCCAAATAAATTGAAGATTTGCACATACAAATTGCACAACGATAATACAGCGCTTCACTCTCATTAGTCTGTTTTCTTCGCCTTTTATTATTGTGACAATTACGAGAGTACATATAATTTTAAATTGTTATTTAAACTTGTATTTTTTAATTGTATTATAAGATTTTCTAAAATCTATCTTACCACCATAAGTTGGGGGTTGCGTCGGCGCGGGGACAAAGCCGGTCGGTGGATGCGGCGCCACCGGATACGCTGTAACATAAGGTAATACGTAATGCAGCTCTACCTGAATTCGCAGGTCGCGAATAGCATGTGTGTGTGTGTTCGATCTAAGCCAACATGGTACGTGGTACCACACTGCCAGAAAGGACGAGTGCCGGCGCAACCCGTCCGCGTCCCGACGCGGCACCGAAGAACGGAATCCGCACATAATCTTGGCAGATCGTAAATCCCGTCCGCGTCGAGTACGCGTAGAGCGCGTCGTCGAGATTAGGGGCGCGATTGGATTCTCTTTCTCGTTGTGGTTCCAAACCAATTCCATTTTTCTGCATTACCGTCTCAATATCAAAGTGGTCCGAACAAATTCGATAAAATTTTTTTGATTTTTGTTTTTCAGCTACTTGTAGCTGTTTGAAATGATTTCAGCAAATGTTCAATTTTTCAATTATTCCCGTTCTTTTGGGATTTGATATTTCTTGATCAATATAATCCATACTAGTGATTTACAGCACAATACACAAATTGCTAAAAGCCAAAATCAGTTCAGCAATTCGAGTTTTAGATACTCATTAAAAATATGTGTTTAACTAAGTGATATTTGTGATAACAAGATGAAGAATTGAAAAAAGTGTACAAGAAAACTAGTTTAAGATAGTAATTTTGAGCATCGTTCAATTCACATTTCATTTCCAAACAATTCTTTGAAAGCCACTTTCAGTTCTAGCTATTGTTATAAGTTGTTTTAGTTTATAACCACTTCGATGTCATTAATTCGAAATATTTCTTTCAGAATTAAATTCCCGGGTAACGTGCCCGAAGATAATATGAAAGACTTATGAAAGAGTGTTCTCGCCACATCGAAGAGATCGTCCAATGCGCCGCCGATCTCCAGAGTGGTACTCCCACACCCAAGTATATCTTACACATGACATACACCGTTTTGATCAAGATACTATTCAAAGCTCAAACAATGTTAGTCACTAAATAATGGTGAAAAGAAATAACCGAAGATATCGCGCCCGCCTGTCGCTCCCGGGGCCTTCCTTGAGCTCTATTTCGCCCGGCGTAAACTGCCGGGGCGCAGACGGGCTTCTTTATAAAAACATTTACAAGATGACCAACCACTCCTCTTATCCCGAAAGACACTCAATCTTTGCATTTATTTCTTATGAAATTGTGTATCCACACAAGCAACTAGTGTTTCCTAATCATTTTAGCTTATTATTTTGGCATGTATTTAAAAATTTGTTTTCAAATATGAAAATGTAAATCCTTCTTCATAAATATAAATAAAAATGAGAGGATATTAACCTTTGAGTAGGTTGCTACAGCACTCTACGCTGTAAGTTACCTTAAAAACCTTGTTCTCTGGAAAAGAAAAATAAAAAGAATTCAAAAGTCTTAAAGTTAATTATTTTTATATTTTTACATTCCTTTATCTTATAAAAATGAAATAATATAAATTTAGCTCTACACATACTGTTAAAAAATATTATTATGAAATAAAATTTGTTTGAAATATTCTGAACATCCCATTTACCTACTTAAAGGTTAAAAGGAAGAAAATTTCCGTGTAGAGTAACATTTTTTAAATAAGAAAAGAAAAGATAAAATATACTTATACTGCAACTGGATATATATTTATCCATATTTATTAATAAAGATACAATTTAAAAAAGTGATAGAAAAAAAGCCAGTGATTTTATCAACTTAAATCTGATAATTTCGATTTTAATTGTTTTCGATTTTTGGAATGTCTTTTTCTTTTCGAGAAGTTGATCACCTTGGACCATACCCATTCGAGGATCCATCGAGATCGCTAATAAATCGTCCACACAAATGGATCCACGATCAAGGAGTTAAAACGAATCGCACTCGAGAATAATTCGATAAAAAAATCTTCCCGAATTCATGTACTACCAAACTTTAATGAATTTGAATGTTCTTTGAAAGTTTATGAATTTTTGTTAGTCGAAGTTCAAAATCATTGCTCACAGAAAATTCAGACGATTATTCTCGAACAATGATTCGTCATTGAGCAACCTTTACTTCTAAAACTAAGATTTAATACGAAACCGATCTCAAAGCAAATAGCGTTACGCAATCAAGGTAGAAGCCAAATACATTCGTCTAAAAGGTTGAGCCTGAGGGATCCATGTAAGTAAGGCGTCAACAAACATTCGTTCAAGTATGTGCAATCTTTAAGATAAATTATTAACGTCTTGGATTCTTGCAACAAATAGATGCTTTTTTTAATCCATAAGAAGGTAAGGCTACATTATATCGATCGATATATTTTGCAGTTTAAGAGTGCTTGATACTCAATCGCATAAAATTTAGAATATTTCTATTGCCTGAGACGCTTTAATCTTAATTATTTATCTTAAGTCAGCTCATCTTTTTGCTATATAAAGATCCCACAAACTTGGAATCTGCATCAAAATTGAGATTTGTGATTCTTATTAGTATTATTTTTAGATATTGTTTTTTCGCATCTTCGAAAGTGTTTGATTGCGTCCTGCATTTATCCAAAACATCAACAATTTATTCATCTGTTTCATTTCATCAATCGTTAACCCGTTATATTCTAATCTACTTATCAACAATATCTTTACATTCATATTACATTTAATTTCCAGCAATATCTGAGAAAGTAATATAGTTTTCGAATATAAAGGGTTGAAGATTAATCCAAATGCAAATCGATCAATCCCGAGGCTCGACCGTGTTTAAAAAACAGAAAAACGACAAAAACAGAGCTAAAATAAAGCCAGGTACGAAGGATAACGGTTGCTCCAAAAAGTGATGTTAAAACAAGCCCAAGTATTCGAAGGACTCGCGATATGAAAACGGCAGTCCGCCTTAACATCATCATTATCATCATTGTCATCGTGTCATCGTTCTCGTCATCATCGCCGTTCTCATCATTGCCAGCAATGACGAGATGCGATTTCACAAGTCGAGCCGAGAAGAAGAGTCTCTATATGTCTCTCTTTCTCTTCTTTTCTATTTTCTTTTTTTGGGCGGTGAATGTGTAATTTATACAATGAGTATAGTGGTACGATGATTATGTATATATATATATAATATTTATATATGCATACATAGCGGTGGACTATGTATGCATATCGGGCTCCACACATTCAAAAAGTCGTGACAAGACTCAGCAAACCACAAATTTCTGCAAATATCCAGAGATAAAGGTTAAACATGATTAAAAGTTCCTCGGAATCGTGTGTAATAGTAAGTAAGTAACGTTGGCGACCGGCCGCATCGCGACGTCGCGAGACGTTCGGCCGCCTATTTCTTTCTCTAATTCTTTTAATTATCTAAACCGCGCCATGCGCCACGCACCGTCGCCATCGGGAGGCCAATTATCCTTCTGGATATTTCTACGTCAATATAATAATGTTGAGTTGCAACATTTTCGAGAGAGGAAAAATGTGCATATATAGAATTTGAGATAAGAGAAGAGTTACTAAGAGAAATTTTTATTTTTTTAAACCCTTTATAATTTTGTTTTCTCTCTTTCTCTCTTTCTCGATAGCCTTGGACTTTATCAATAAAATAACGTTCTCAAAAGACAAACATCGAAATCGTTGAAAAAAAGAATCGTTTCAAATAGATATATAAAAGATTTTTTTTACGAATTACAAAGTTACTGGAAAGTTAAAAAGCAGATATTTAAAAAATGAAAATTTTCTGTCCTCCGGATGTTGTCCGCGCGATTGCGCTGGTGCTGCATAGACATGTTGTACTCTAACATAAATGTCAACTCATACCAAATTGTTCATGATATGATCAAAAGCCGATCGAAATGGCGGAAACAAGCGATCCAATACAATATTTACACGATCATTTTGGCCGTGATTTCACGAGAAATTGTAACAGGTGGTACAAACGCAATAGTTGACGATTGATATATTTACATTTACAGATATTAGTATTAGCTAAGCTTCAGTAAAATTTCGAAAAATTTAAGAATATAAATTGGAAAAATTAGTTACAATACTTATAATTATAAAACAAAAAAGAAACAAGTAAATTTGGAAAATGAAAAAATTTAGGAAAAATCGGAAATTCAAAGATCTAGAAATCCAACGGCTCCTGCATACTTGCGTGGCAAGATGCAATGCGGTTAATAAATCGCTCACATTTCTAGAAAGAATATCTTCCGAGTTTGCACGGAAAAGGTTGAACTCGATCCAATTCTTGCCGCGTTTAGTGCGTAGAAGTCATAAAAATTAAAAAATCCAGAAATCTCCAATTTAAAGATTTAAGGAAATAAAGTTCTCAGACAATGAGGATAGCTACAGAATTGCATAGATTGCAATTTTCGATGATTCTTCATACTTGTGTTTCTCGATTAAAATTATGAAATTGAAGACAATCATCACATTAAACTCTCGGTTCTTTTACTCTATATTCTGTCAAGAATAATATAAATAAAAATTTCAAAAATTGGGACCACCTTGTACAAGCGAATTTGCTTAGGAATCTCTGCGGGTGTTCTGGATGCTGGTTCATCCGCATATTCGTGCAACCTTCGAGAAATAACAATTTAAGTGTCTATGTGTCACGGTGCAAACAATCATTGAATCAATCACAACCGATTGTAATATTAATGCTAGTTTACGACTTAATGTTAAAAGTGTCTATCGCTCTTTTCTTTCTCTCTCCCACACACACGCACACTCTCTTTCTCTTTCACTTCTTCGATTAGTCCCAATGAGCAGTTCGACACTATCCAGATACTATCTTACTTATGTCTTTTTTTTTTTCAATTATCTCTGTTTTCGCCGGTCCACATTAAACGACCAACAAAGAACAATTCAAAACTTGGTTTTTTTTTGCTGGACGACGATTCATCGAAATGCTTCCGTGGACAACAGACGTGTTCTCGAGACGAGCGGAGTCACCAGAAGCGTACTGGGAAACATAGATGTTGCAAATTTTACGAAACCGACCCGTGAAGTGAAAAATAAAAAATATCAAACATTTGTAACTCCAACAATAAAAGGAAAGAGAAAGATATACATTTTTTTTATATAAAAATCTTCAAACGTACGATAAATTGTCGAAAGAAAATTCAAGATTAAAGCGGAGAGCACAGACTCTTGCATAACGCATTACACATGAGGCATAAGAAATTGAACCAATCACAGTTCTTTATTTTATGGAAAGAAAGGAAATGAAGGACTTCGATTGGTACATTTTCTTATGCGTTATGTAAGAGTCTGTGCTCCCCGCTTAAGAATATCTCTTCGAAGCTATGTAAGAAATAAGTAAATGTAAGCAAGAGATAAATCTTTGTGTTTTCCC